GTAATGAGACTATGAGGATGGGGTGGGGACAGTTACGTTTTATGGGGATGATGATCAGCCTGTCTGCTATGGCTTGTATGTTAAAGTAAGAAAATCACCGAACAGGAAGACAGTGCAATGGTGTAAGTATTCTGTTACCATTTGCATCCAAGGACAAGAAATAAATGTTATAAATCTTGCAAATGCCTCAGTCTAAAACAAATTAATTATATCTCTGTATTTGCTTAGATTGGAAGGCTTATGTTCATTTCATAATGTTTATGGGCTTTAAGTCAAAAACAAGGAAGAAAAAAATTAAATATTAGAAAGAAAGAGGTGTGGAAGGACAAGAGGTTTGGGATAAATGATCTCAGAACCCCATGACACCTGGAATCTGGGGTTAGAATGAAGCTACTAGCTTGCTTGCTGTGTCTTGTGGTGTGATATACTTACTTAGGTTTTCTTGCCTGCCAATATATCCTGTGAGACATTTTGCCTCTTTCAATTTGTGAAATAGAAGTTTACATATCATAAGACATGATTTGAAACATAAAAACATATGGGGGGAAAATGATCTGCATGTGCATAGTATTATAATGATGAGAACTTGCTTTCCAAGGGAAAAGTGAACATAGAGGCAGTTTCACTTTTCAGAAATACATGGCAATTAAGTATGGAGTCAGCTTTTTGCTGTTATTAATGCTGGAGTTAATTCACCAGCATTCAGTTAAGTTTCTCTCAGTTCTTTTTTAAAGCTGTTACTGATATGAGTAGGTTTGAAAAATTATCACAACTACCTGATACAACTAGGTAAATAACACATGGCTTCAATAATCAGGTATTTAAATATTTTTGCAAAGTAAATGAGATTCCAGGGTATCAAGTTCATTATCAACTTTTTGTATGAGTGGTAGTAAACTATATAACACTGAGCCTGTTTACTGAATGACATTATTAAAACAAATTATAAAACAGTTTGTAAACATCTATTAGAAAATTGGATGGCTGGATAGGTAATGCAGATTAAAAATTAATCATGTCCAGGTTTGATATGCTTAATAGGAAAGAAAAGAAAAATAGGCTGATAGAGATCCACGTATATCTGATAAACTGGGCTCAAGTTCCTAAAAGCTGGTTCCATAATCAGCCTATTAATCTTTAAATGTCACATAACATCACATTCTTTTTGTGACCTAGAGAAATGGAGCTAAAATCATTGTGCTTTGCATTCAGTGGGTTCTTTTGCTATATTTTAGGCTAATGGTGTGAACTTCAAAAATTATTGTTTTATTTTCATATCAAAAATGTTCGGATTACTGTTTTCATTAAATATCAGGAGTATTGTTTTTTTTATTTATTTATTTAATAGCTTTATTCCCTCTCCTAAAAAGGAGAGATATTTCGCTTAAAGTCAGGAAAAGGGGTGGGTATATAGATGGATAAAGAAAAGGGTGAGTGGTGTTAGTATATTAGTATATTAATCTTTTCATATTAAGAATTAGAGTCAATCACTGCTTCTGTAGTCCGGCGTTCTTTTCTTCCTCCATCTCTGTTAACAAGGCAATTAGTATGTTAGTATTGTCCTTCTGGGAGTTAATTTCTTTTTCAGAGTGTAATCCAAAAATCGAAAAGTCTCTAGAATCTGGGGTCCTTTCCTTTCTTATCTCTCAAGTTATACTTCAAAGCAGTCGCTCCTTTGGGTTCCTCGTCCTTCACCTCTCCCTCCGAGCTGCTGTCTCCACGTTCAGTCCTGTCATCCACTTGGCCAGTTCTGCCTCTTCTTCTTTACTAGCGTGCCTTTCTAAGAAGTCTTGAGCCTTGAAGATAGAATCAATCTTTTCTCTCTTTTCTTTGAACTTGAAAGTCAGTCCTTCGGGCACCAGCCATTTGTTTGATGGTTTTGTACAAATCTGGTCAGTCCTTTATATTCTTTTCTTTTCATTCTTATTTCAAATGGAACATCTTTTAAAGTTCTTATCAACTGATCTCCGATTTTCAGGGGCGTTGCTGATGTCACCTTTAGTATCTGATCTCTGAGACGTTGCTTTGTAAATTTTACAACCACTTCTGCTGGCAACTTGTTTTTTCTTGTATAATTGGAATAGGCCCTATAGGCCAAATCCATTTCTTCTTTTATTTTTTCCGCTTCGTTGCCAGTTAGTGGAGCCAAAGCTGTCGCCAATATGTCTCTTAGATACTCTCCAGTTTCTTCTTTCAGTCCCTGGAACCGGAGGGGTACATTTGCTTTTTCCATTTGAAATCTTTTGCAGTTCTTCCAGCAGATGGCGCGCGAGAGCACCTTCTTGCTGATTGACAGCAGATCCAGCAAGGGAAGGGCTTGGGCAGGAAGTCCCTCCCGTCTTCTTCACCAGCTTTTCTTGTACTTTTTTAGTCCCCGCCATGCTTCAGTTTTGTTTACACCTAGAAAGTTCGTGCCATAGCAATCGAGGAAGCTTCCCTCCTCTCCGCTTATTTCTCCCTCCCAGCAAGGTAAACCGTTCATGCGTTTTTTCGCTTCCCCCCCCCTCTTTGTTTTAAAAGTCTCTTTTTAATACGGAGGTGGTAGTCCCTCCTCCCTTTCGCTTCTTGGGGGGGGTGAGGCTTTCTTTTAAATACCACCGCTTAAAATCTTGAACGCCGGCTTACAGTTTGTCACTTGCTTCTCTCTCTGACTCGATTCATCCGCTCCACCACTCCGCTTTCCCGGCGGCTTTGCTATTCCCCATTACAGGGCACAACGCAGCTGGAGCCATTTGGGGCAGGGAGAGACTATGGTGGGGGAGCCTCAATTCCCAGCTTTTGTGCCGGCAAGAGGCATCCCCCAGTCTCTCAAATGCACCCCCTGGTTCGGAGCCTTTTAACAAAGGCTCCTTAGGATCTCCGCATGAGCGGGACCCCTCCAGACGGCGTGTGGGCGATCCGACTCCGGGAGCTCACCCGAGAGTCGGTCGCCAGGCGCGCAGCCATAACCGGAACTTAATATCAGGAGTATTGTTTATCATTTTGGAAAATCATGTCAACAGGGGGGAAACCCATTTTAATTAAATTACAAAAGAACATTAAAAGGATAATTTTTGAAGTGTCTCTTCATTCAGAGGCAGGAAAAACTAGGAGGGAGAGGAACAAAGCATTCCTCACCTTCTAGCTGGCCCATAACATATTGGTCCTTTAAACTTTAAAGGGCTACTGTGTCAATATGCGATAGAGCTGACTGCCTGAGGTCCGATCTACCATTCACTGAAGATAATGGCTCCTTTAAGTTTACAGACCACCTAGAGTGTGCTGGGTCCTAAGTAGCCGATTCTACTGCTTCCCCAGCAATTCTCAATTCCATTATTAATCAGGAGTGGACTATTTTATTTGGGAATATCAGGGGGTGAGTTTCACAGTCTCAGACATTGCCAGTCCAGTCAAAATATCAGGTGTTTTATTTAGTTGGCACTATCTGATTACATACCCCTGTTGTATACCACTGGTTTTGTTTGTTCTCTGTGAACCAGTACATATTTTTACATTGTAGGTGTTATGTAGCCTGGCTACTTGAAACCCTGCCCACATTACTTTATACGATTGTGCATGGTTTGATGGGCCAACTACTTGTTGGGCGTTCTCAGATACCGAACTTTTACTTACATGGTCACGCCATCCTTCACTCTGCCTGCATGTGGCATATGCATTTTCTAGACTAAGAGAGTATTTTGATCTATTCGTATAAGTGTATGTTGCCTAAGGAAGATTTCAAATGGCATATGAAGATTTGTGTATTATCATAGTCAGGTATAGGAAGACATTTCCTGGAGATAAGGGCTGGATCCCAAAATTAGTTAATGAATTTTCCAGTCCATGATCTCCACAGTTAAACCCAGTATATGACCTAGTGTGGTATAATGCTTGACCTCAAAAGGCAGGTACGTTTCTTGTGGCTCAATATTTCAGTAGGAAAATACTCTTAACAGTGGCCATAGTCTGTCATGTTTAGGCACACTGAAGCCAGCTGAGATCTTGAATGGCTTTAAGCACACAACAAATGCTAGATTGATGGAGGAGGAGGGATTCAGGTTGAAGAGATAATGGCATGGATTCTAAAAAACATCCATGAATGGTAGGGACATTTGCTACTTCCTTGCTTAAGCCCTCTGAGCCCTCGGAAGAACTACTCCTGTGAATCTGAATCTGCTGTGTGCTAAACTGGCCACCACCACCACCTTTCATTTATGCAAGATCTCACAAGCAATATTCCCTCTAAGCTTTGGAGTCTTGTGAGCTAACATTCTACCTTGTGAGCTACTGGCATTAAAGTTGTGAGCGAGCGATTTGGCTCCGGCATAAACTAGTTTGCTCTGGAGCCATCCTTCCTGAGCTGTGACAAAAATGTGTGAGCTGGAGGCTAAAAAACTGTGAGCTAGCTCACACTAACTCAGCTTAGAGGGAACATTGCTCACAAGAATGGAGAGGCAATTCCATCTTCAGGTATTACCCTCCACCACTGCATCTCGTTCATTCCTGAGATTCTCCCAATACTTAGGAACAGCCTTTTCTATTCCATGGGAAGAGAAGGGTGGAAAAGTATCTTCCCTGAAGCCTGTTCAGTTCACAGCTCTTGAGATTAAAACTTCAATATGTTTTAATTCAGATTTCATTTTAAACAAAATTATTTCAGAAGGGAAATTTACTAGAATCTAGTCTATTTAAAAATCAAGTTTAAGTTTAAAATCTGCTTTAATTGTTTTAGCCACCCTGAAGGACTGTGGATTTCAAACAGACTAATGAAATGCAACTGTAAAATTTGAGGGGTAGTATATTAAAACAGTGGGAGTCCTGAATGTTTAATGGAGGCTTAGGGAAAGGTGATGTGAATTAGAAGGAAAATGGTAGCTTGCGAAGGTTTAGCTAAATAAAAGGAAGCAAGTTCAGAGTAGGCTTCTCATTACAAGAGCATTTGTATCCTGTACATGCTTAAATTGGCTTCTCCCACAGCATGAATTATTTGAAGCTGGAGTTTTTGTGTTATGCATTTTCAGTCCTCTCTTTGTGACGTGGAAGACAGGGCGAGACAAGCGACTTCGGGGCTGCATTGGAACTTTCTCTGCCATGAATCTTCACTCAGGACTCAGGGAATACACATTAACCAGGTAAAGACAAGAAGCTGGATTTAGGGACATTGGTATTGTAAATATATCTTATGTATCATGTTCTTCATGCCAGAATGGTGTCCTCCTGTCCGATTGCAACCCAGGGGCATCTAGTTTGGCTGATTCATCCAGTACATTGTACTGTTGTCTCCAGGCAGAAAGGTGGTGCACTGTGGTATTCCATTTGGGACTGGAAGACAATCTGCTGGAGGTTATGGCATGTATGCTAAGTAGCTAGTTTTGGCTGCAAGCACAGTATATTAGTGCTCAAAGGACCACACTGGCTTCCTAGAATCTTGCAGGCATGATTTCAGGTACTGGTTATTTTGTTTTCTTCCTGTACAAAAGCTGCTAATATACTCAGTGTAAAAATAAATATATAAAGATCAATAAGAGCAGTTAGATCAATCAAAAACTTATAGTCTAAAATATCTTGATTTTCTAAGAACTAAAACAACTCTGCATATAGGACAATATAAAGGGTGATCCATCTGATCAATGGTGTTGTCCTGTAAAGTCATAAATAATATAGTCAGGATGTGTTTAAGAGGCCATTCACCGCACACGCACACACCCCAGTGCAGCAAAGACATATTAAGGTACTCTCTGTCAGTACTTCATGGTTATCAAATACTATTTCTCTCTGGGATTTACCAGAAAATGAGCGTTTTGGTAAGCATTGCAGTGTCTTCCCACTTCTTCATTTTAATACTCCTGTGTAGAAATCAGTAGCACAGCTATAGCTTTGGTATATGCAGTGCTCTGTTTTGATGGTATTCCGTTCTGCACATAATACATCTGAAACCTGTTCTAAAGTCATTTTCCTTATCCTAAGCCTTTAGGATAATGTTAGTAAATGTTTTACTAAATATTTGATTAAGCGTCATGGGGTTTTGTTTCCAGTTGTGTTTGTTGTGCTCTCACTCCAGTGCACTTAAGGACAGCAGATTTCCACCCCTGACCCGTGAGGAGCTGCCTAAACTTTTCTGCTCTGTCTCCCTCCTCACTAATTTTGAGGATGCCACTGACTACTTGGACTGGGAGGTGAGAACAGTTGCATTTGAGAATCTCCATCACTGTTGCATATCATTTGGGTTCAGTAATGTGTCTGCTTTATTATAAGGGAAGGTATAGGAAGGGGGGGGGGATGACAATAAATGGGTTGTTCCAACAATACTATATAAGTGGTGGTGGGAAGTTAAGTGCAAGAGGAGAGAAGATTGTTTTTAGATTTATGGCAGCATTTTAGTTTTTCATTAGCAAGACTTGCTCAAACAAAGGCTGATATAGCATTACCAGATTAATCCCTCTCTGTGGCCATACCTAATGGGATCACCAGAAGAAAGGAAGCTTATGGTACTGCAAGTGCAAGAAAGTGAGGCAAGGTTGGCTTCCATGCATGGCATGGCAATGGAAATTGTTTGGTACATTGTCATAGAAAGGTACCTCTCAGCTGGCTTTATATTTCCATTGTCAGGTGGGAATCCATGGAATCAGAATTGAGTTCATCAATGAGAAAGGTGTCAAACGCACAGCCACATACTTACCTGAGGTTGCTAAGGAACAAGGTGGGTTTGAGATCAGCTGAATTTCCCTGCTGAGCAAAAGTTGTCTGAATGTAAAGATTTGGATTGTGGATCTGGCTTTTGCAGCAGCTACAAAAGCCATCTAAAGTCGTTTATCTCTGGCAAAACAGTTCAGAAATATTTCTTTTATGCTAGTTACACACTCAGTATGTTTTTTTTTTCAAAACTGACCATGGTTTGACTGATATTTCCCTCATGTAACTGTTTGGGCATTGCTTCCCATCTCCTAGTCATAGAGTAAAAAAGAAATGCCTAGTTGAATTCACTGATTGTATCCAAGGCATTGCCATTCTGACATTTTCCAACACTCTGTGAGTTTCCTCTTCAGCCTCACCTGATCACCCAAGCACAGCTCCAGAGGACCGCTTTGTCCCCCCACAGTGTAAAGCACATTGCCATAAATGTGGTCAACAGCTTGGCCTTCTTTGAAGAACACTGCAGCACCCATCACTGTAATTGTACAAAATATTTCTTCTATTCAGAGAAGCACATTTGTTCTTTTTTGGAAACAACAAGTCAAAGGATCAAAATACAGTGTACTGTATCAGGTGTCCAACATGTTAATGCACTGCGTTGTTCCTGAGGTGCTCAGGGGAATTTAATCTGCATTCTATGTTTCTCTTATGCTGAAGAGCCTGAATGCTATATGTGACTAAAATAGGATAGGTCCATGTAAAATTTCATATGACTTGCAACACTTGGTTGGCTACAGCTAGTGGATTAAGTCCAATGGTGCTATTCTACTGGAATATTTACTGTTACATTATACTTCTCTTGGGAGATGAGGGAAGAGCAGTTTCTGTCAATGCACCCCATCCCCCACTCCGAAGACCCTTGATCTCAGAAGTAGTATTTCTAAGGGCTGCGGGGAAGGAGAGAGTAGGGAAGTCCCTTTCTGCCAGCTTTATTTTGGTGATGCTGCTTTGCAGCCAACCCGTTGTTTTTAAACATATGTAAAACAATGAATAATTAGATTCTTTATCAGCATCTGTGATATCCTGGACTTGTTTATTTCCCTTCTGAGACATTATCTCTTTTTCCTTAAAATGAACGTGTATTTAGCTCTCTGCTGCTGTTTTTGAACAGATTGGGATCAGATTCAAACAATAGACTCCTTACTCAGGAAAGGTGGTTTCAAAGCGCCAATTACCAATGACTTTAGAAAAACTATTAAACTCACCAGGTAAGATGGATATTTTATTATTGTAACTTTTAGCTATATAATTGCTACTGCTACCATTTATAAGGGAGAGCATGCTCATGAAAGGTGAGACTTCTGAGACTTAAGGTTCGATGGTACTTTTTTGCTCTTGTTATCGTCATGGGATAGTCTGCTCAGGTTGAAGGCTGTTTTGTAAGTTTCTATCTCTGCTTTCATGCTTTAAGTGTACAATACTTTGTATAGTAGAGAGTTAACTTTTTAGAAAATTAAACATGCATCTGCCATTGAGGCTGTTCTTAATTTTCAAGGCTTCAGACAAGACTCTAGCAATAAGCCACAGGGGGCAGCTAAATTGGCTGGCTCACTTTTCTCATTCTCCCCCCAGCGCCAGCAGCAACAGCTCTTGCTGCCATTTCTAGCTTCCTCTCTAAATTCTTCCTCTTTGGGCCCAGTGACAGTGAGAAGGAATAGCAGCTTTCTACCCAGTCAGATTGGGGTGATCAGCAACTTTCAGGAAGTGCCCACTGCCAGCCTATTAATCCCAGAGGGGGAGAGCAGATGAACAAGGGGATGAATGAGCTGGAGATAAGTGGGAGAAGGAGTTTGCAATTGGAATGTGAAGCTGCTGTTGCAGTGTTCTGAAAAATGGTGGGCCCTATCAGGGAGTGAGCCTTATCAGTTGCCCAGTGATGTCAACCTCTGACAATGAACCTCTCCACTCTTTGAATTGTGGCAGTCTGAAGAAAGAATCTTGATTTGGAGTGACTCAAACCCAACCATAGATGTGCCTACAGATGCAAGCCTGGAAAAATTTAGGGGAGAAAGTTCTTTTGCTTTTTGGTTTGTTTTCATTGTTTATAATCTGCCTTGAATATGAGGAAGAAAGGCAAGACTGTAAGTAAAGTAAATAGAATTAATTTTTCCAAGGGAAAAATTAGGAACTTGGGGAGTTTAAAAAAAAAACCTCTTAAGAAGCATGAAAATTGTGCAAGACAACCTGTGTATACTGTTGATACACAACATATTTTAATTATATGTTTATATGTGAATAGTTTTGGCAACAAATAATACGCTATAATGTGTTTGATAATACATTATTAGTCAATTGATTTCAGTGTTACTAAATTTAACTTGATATCCAGACATGCTGGTAGTCCTGTTGTGGCTGTGCATGTTTGCCAGATAATAAATTTTGTTTTGTGTACTACAAAATTTGTTTTCTAATTTTAACTTATTGTTCCTACCTTTCAGATAGCAAAAAAATTAAGATACAAAGTGCCATAGGGTGCAGCAGTTCACAGCTATCTTTAAAGTTTGGGGTCGATTTGCAGTTCTGCTTGTAAAAAAAATCTTAAGGCATTTCTACTTTTAAATTCCATAAAAATGCCAAATAGTCCAATTTTGTATGTTATCTTTGTCATAAATAATGCATTTTATCTCTGTCAGTATAATAAAATTAGATTTGAGAGGGAAGTAAGTATTGCATACTTTTCAATTTCTCCCAGATTTTCTGGGTTTTTCCCCCCTATTGCTTCAAAATTTCTGGAAATCATGCATCCCTGTCTGGTGAAAGTCACTCCTAAAGTTCTTCAGAGTTTCAGAAATAGCGGATTGTATGGTACAAGGGAGCTGCTTAGAAGTTTGTTCTCATTGCACAGCTTTGCCATTAAGATGTTCAGGCTCAAACAGGGATGCAGAATGTTATGAAGTGGTGTATTGCACCATAAATTTTGGCAGCCTCCAGTCATCATGTTGCTGAGCAATGCTAAATAAAGCATTATAGTTGTATGTTAAGCTTATTTGACAAATGATTGTAGAGAGAAGGGGACAGAATTCGCCAGTTAATTGGTAGCTGCCTAGGATTGCCTATGTTGTGGTGTTTCCAAAGTTCGAACAGTTGGGTCCACTGAAGTGTTTGTCATATAAGAATCATGGTGTTAAAAAGGGGCAGTGTATCTGTATCTTCACATTTGGACAGTTATTTAGAGAAAAATGCATTCAGACCTTTTGCAGGAATCCAAAAGGTAATAGATATTTGAATATCTTTTTCCTTCTAACTTGCAAATGGGACAGTTTTAAAAACAACCTTACCAGAAATATGACAAAAAATTTTTAAATCAGAAGTATTTCAAATACATATGATGCAAAGGCCACCTCAGGCAGACTTTGTAGATTGTGACCTAGAAATCTTTTAAATAAATAAATGTTACATATGCATTTGAACTTGTAGAGGAAATTTTACTTAGGATATAATTAAATCTGGACAATAAGTTAAAGGAGCAAATTTGGAACATATGTGCCCCGCCATCCATCTTTGTAACTGAGACATAATAGCTTTAAAATTCTGTGCCAGTTGTGTAGGCTTGTAAATAGCTGCTCACCTGTTGGAGAATAAGCATCTCTTCTAGGCCACTGGGCAATGAAACTTAACAAAAGGGTGTTTTTTTTCTTTTTGTGCCACAATTGTTTGCATAAATGTGTGGACAGATAAGCCAGTAAAAAAAACTTTTGATCAACACACTTCTATGGATTTATCTCTAAGGCAGTGATAAATATCTTACCCCACTTAAAGATTATACAGTTCTTTGTTACTGGAACAGAAACTATTGACAGGAGTGTGCTTGTGTATGGCACACATGCCCAAAATTGTTTGGGTTTTATTTTATTTTTATTAGTTTCTGAACACATGGAGATTGTATATAAGTTGGACAGCTTTTAGTAGTGAATGAGTTGGACAATGGGAAGACACCCATTAGTGACTTGCTTGGAAAATTTTGGGAAGCCCTTACAATGGATTATTTTAATTTGCTGTAACTCTCTCCTGCCGTCAAACTAAAAGTAACATTTAAAACATAAAACTATGTCTTTTCATCTTAAAAGAATTATGTTGCTATAAATATTTGTCTTTACCTATAGAGCTGTGGGTGTCTAGGTATGTCCTTTAATATATTTTTCAATACCTTTTTAGGTATCGCAGTGAGAAGGTGACAATCAGTTATGCAGAATACATGGCTTCTCGTCAGCATTGTTTCCAGAATGGCACTCTTCATGCCCCGCCCCTCTACAATCATTACTCCTGACACAAGGCTGCATGACCAGTCCCGCCCCCCAGCTGCCACTAACAGCTATGACATCATTGGGGCAGATGCCTCCTCTTCCTGGTCCAGTTACTTCTATTACTGCACCATTTTATGATGCTAGCTTCCGTTGCCAAGTCTGCCTTCCAGCTGACTGAGGGGTTGGGGGATACCAATGAGTGCAACTGAACTCCAGGGGGGCCAAGCCTGACCTCTTCCTTGCTTCAGAATGAAGGTTCAGTTGGGTTGAGGCTCCAAGACTAGCAGCTGCAGTTAGGTAGAAAGAACCTTGAGGAATGGCAGTACCACTTCAGATTGCTCTCTGTGTTAAATTGCACTGTGTTTATTTGAATTGTTAATTATGACAGCCCCCTTGGATCAAGTTGGAGAATTCTCCTGGCAGTCTCGGCAACGGAGTCCAACAAAAGATTTTTAGGTTATTTTTTTTTAACCTCTGATATTTACCTACCATGAGCTGATATGTCCTAACACATCCCAGGCAAGCAGAAGACATGACGTGTTGCAAGGAGGGTATGTCTGCAGGGATTCCTCCTCTTCCTTGCAGAAGATGGCAATTGCTCGACACCTTGAAGGGGAAAACAACTTACTGCAGATAAAATAATTGCGTATTACATATTCAAGAGATTTCAGTTCATGCATCTAGCTACTTTTGCTTTTGACACAGAAGGAAAGTAGCCCCCTAGACATGGACCCATAATACATGCATGAAAGTGTACTGGTTGTTTGTGGGAGTGGCTTAGGTTTCCTTTTCCCTCTAGAGTATGATCTCATTTTTCTTTGGGGCTGCTCTGGGTATCTAACCTAAACATTAGCAGCAGGGTCTGCAGTTAGATTGGGGCAGGTCTGTTCCCCACAAAGCCATTATTATAATCCTAGAGGGAAAATATGTGAAAGTTGACTAAAGGAAGTATCCAGTGGGGACTGTGTTTAACAGGCAGCAGCTTTCTCTGTCAAGATTCTGATATCCAGATAATGAAATACGGTAAATTAAATAGCTTTTAAGTGGCTATGTAATACAGCTGTATTGATGTTTCAGCCCTAAATCCATGTACTTGGAAATAAGTAAAATTGGTTTAAATTGAACTTGCCTTTAGAATTGGAACCTGAGGAATGTTTGGCTGCCAAAAAAAAATCTGTTAACTCAGATTCACTTTTTAGTATCCTTTCCCATTATTGCAAAAAAAAAAAAAAAAAAGATACCCAGAACACTAAGAATTCCATCCTTTCTGTTCATCATCCCAGGTCTCTTGTGTGAGTTGCTGAATGATGTCATGAATGCAGCTGGCATTATGACTCTTCTTAAATGAATCCACAGGAACTATGGAATGGTAATGTCTGAATGTCTTGATGATCATCACTGATGGGCAAAGAAAATCCTGAAAAAAGAAGCATAGTATAATGGATTTAATACCATGTGTGTAGTAAAACTGGCTTTTATAGAGAGCTGATTGGAAGGCATTTACTGAGAATTCTCTCAGGTTGGGATATAGATCTTCAGTCTTTAGGTTGAATGAACATTGCCCTAGGCAGGGACAAATGCCTTCTGTCCTTAAGAAAGTGTTAAGAGTTGCCTGAACAGACATTGAATCATTGAAGTATAAATAGACATGAATAGCCCATAGTTTTAAACAGTATTTGTCATTATCTGGCATGGTTGCACAAAGAAAAGGGGAAGACAGCAGTTTGATACCATCTTCCTTGCAACAGGACAGTTCACAGTCTAGGAAGTCTCCAAAAGTGTCAGCCTAAGCAGAGTTACACCCTTCTAAGCTTGTTGATGTCAGTGGACTAGAAGGATGAAACTCTGCATAGGATGGCACAGAAAATCACAACTATTAGCACTACTGTTCCTTACATTGCCCCAAAAGAAGACACAACCTTGAATTTTATTTGCCAATGAAAATTTACCTAGTTGTGAAATGTGAAAAGGCACTCATCCCAGATATCTGCGGTACCAACAGTTTTAGAATTGTACTTTGTGTGGATTGCCACTTTCCCCTTCTGATGATGTTGAACTGTGTTTGGATATGAAGGGACTGTTTCATGATTTTCTGCTTCTGAGAATAAATTAGCCTTGTTACAAATTAGAGAGTGATTTTTGTAGTTACTCTCCCAGATGCCCTGGACTGATAGGAAACTGTAGAGGAGAGAGGTGGGTTCAGCTCCGGTCATACCATCCATCTCAGCTCTCAGACAGTATTGAAACATAGGGCTACACTAATTACTATTAAAGCGTTCTATGTTAGAATTCAAATTGTAAAGATTTTTTTAAAAGCAAAAAGGAAAAAAATAAATAAATGGTGCTAAACTTTCACCCCTGAGCACATTCGGTGAGACTGGTCATGCAGGCATATAGTGCCAGGCTATTCAATCCTGCTTTCTTTTTCCTTTTCAAATGTTTGCCCTGTTATGTGTCTTCAGCAGTGTAATAGTGTTAATCAATTTCATTTTAATGGGGGGGAGGGAGTTTAGGAGCCAGATGGGGAGGGAGCTTTGCTGCCATTCTAAAGAACAGACTTTTAGGAGTGACTTGACCTACTTGGTTTAATTTTACCATTACAAAGAAGTAAGTTAAATTGGTTTTGGAGTGAGAGGTGGTCTCATTCCCTGCCCCTGTTTCCATCCCAACCAATCACACTAATATAAATGGAAATGCCTCTGTTAAAGTTGGATTGTGGTGTTTTCTTGTAGTAAGCAGCACAGCAACCAGGCCATGATGCACTAATCAGCCCTCTGAGGAAAGGGACCTATTTAACATTGGTCTCACACAGAGTCCAGTTAAAATGCAGCTGAAGAAGAGGTCAGGTGTTCCTGCAAAACATGTAGGGGGAATAGACTGTCCTCAAAGAGAGCCCACCTTCTGTATCATACACAGCAGTAATGCATGGAGTTGAGCCCAAACTGGAATGTACTGCATTTCAATTGACTGACAGACAATTTTAACAAGATGTGGGAACCAACAAAATAGCCAACAGAAAACCACCTTTTCTAAAGTCCTAGTCTGTTTTCCTCAGCTGAATAGTGAGTAATCTGATCATGTCAAGACCTTAGCAATAGCCTTCTGGTCTGATTGGGAACTGGCTCATCCTTAGCTACAAGTAAGTGCCTTTTGGTCTTGATGGGTTAATTTCTGGATAACTGTGGCTGGGAATCTCCCTTGCTGCAGAGCCATGTATGTTTAGTTATTTTTTGGGGGGGAGGATTTCCCAGTTACAACAGGGAATGTCTTTGATCACTGTAGTCTGTTCATCATTTGGATGTTTCCCTTGGTGGTATTTCTTTTTTACAATGACTAACAGCCAATCTCAATAGAGGCATTTCAGTCTGAAAGATTTTAAGGTCAAACTATCATATCAGTAGATATCAGGTTGGATCATGCAGATCTGTTCTGGAACCATAGCAGTTTTCTTCTACAAGGTGCCTTTCCCTGATGCAAGAGCCTTTTTCAGTAGCCACTTTTGTCAGAGAAAGTATTTGTGCTAGAGAAATGTGCTGCCATTAGCAGTGGTTCTGCAGGACCCAACCCATCACATCTGCTGATAAGGGCAAAGTCTTCTGTAAATTTTAATATTCAGGATTTATTAGATTTCACATTTGTTTTTCCTAATTCATCTTAACATCACAGTCTTCATTGACTGTTTTCTGTTTTGTTTTTCAGAGCCAAAATGGTTCAAGTTTGGTTAACTTGAGTTTATTTCCTTTTAAAGCAAGGAACCTCCTTTGACCTTCATTGCAGAGATGTCAGACCAATTCTTTGTTATTACACTTGGTTGCCTCCTAGCTATATAACTTCTGAGTGTAAATCATTGAACTTTACCCTCTAATGAAGTATTGTAGAAAATAAATTGTAATGGATACATTTTTATCTTGTCCCTTTTTTATTGGTGTCTCTCTGTTTGTTTTCGAGAGTAGTGGTCATTACACAGTTAAATCTTTTTTATCACATCTGAAAACAGAAATTGAAGTCTAAAGGCAAGCAATAAGGCAGAACCAATACAAACTGGATGCAATGCCATATTAAAAATAAAAGATTGGAAGTAGTAAGATTGGCCTTTTAAAAATAAATAAATAAAAGCCTTCATATTCATAATCCTGTAGTGTTTGTCTCCTGGTCTGTACATGAGTTTGAATGATGTGCTGTGCTGGACTTTCAGCTTGAGATGAGTTTGTTGTGAATACCAGGGTATTTTATAGATTAAAGAGCTACCTCTTCTATATGTGGTTGATATTGAAGGGAAAAATTGAGAAAATGGTTCTGAAGTAGCTGCTTATACCTTACAAAACAATGTATAAACTGTCCCGTAAAAGCTAAGTAGCTCTTTAACCCATGCATAATTTCAGTTTAGTGTCAGTGTACGTCAAGTGTATTCAAAGAAAAATGGATAAATGCACCTGTTTACCATTCAGTGGATAGTAAATGGCAGCTCTGGAATTTGGGGGAAGGTATATTTCAGTAGCAGGACATGTGCTTTGCCTACAAACATCTCTGGATGAAACCCTTCCATCTTCACTTAAATGTTTCTCAGGTATCAGGTGGTGAAAGGAAGTCCTGGAGAGCCCACTCCCAGTCAGTGTAGACGGTATTCCGGGATGCCCAACCTTTTTGATACTGGGTAGTTGGGGGAAAGCCTGACACCAGAATAGCTGTCATTACTCACAAAATGTTGGCAGTTTCCCTGCCAGGCATTCTTTTATGATGGAGGCAGTGGCATTTTCAACTGCCTCACTTGTGCTGCTGCGTCACTTAGGAGCCAGAGCACCTAACGTTTTCTCAAAGCAAGGTCATGCGCAGTGCACTCATTAGCTTTTGCTTGAGTAATAAAGCTCCTTTCCCCTTTCCTTCTACCCTATTGAAATAGATTTTAGTGCATAAAAAGATGAACAAAGTCTTGTTGAAGCTCAAAGTGGTATTTCAGTAGGGTACTCATACAGCTATTTTGAAAATGGGAAACGAAACAGCTGATCTGAAGCATTGTGGCAGAAAAGGAAAGGCAACAATCAAGTTTCACTCTGACACAAGACACATCTGTCAGTACAAGAGCAAGGGCGAAGTGAAATAGAGCTCTCCCTGCACCTGTTCGTGTTCTTATGTACATCTATAAGTCGCCTAAGTACCATTGATTTATATCGAACATGTTCCCAAATAGGTGTGCAAAGGCTTGCAGCCCTACTAGGATAATATTACCATCTCAGTCTCAAATAGACTCAGCCTGCAGTCATAGGGATATGCTAAAGCTGAACAGATATTTTTCCCAGTCAGCAACAGTCCCATACATTTATCATGGTACATATTCCATTTTTGTCTTCTGCTGACTTTTAGTGAATTTTCTAATTTTTCAGTTAGATGTGCATCTTGCTATGTGTCAAACCTGTTGTTTTGGATAGTATTAATGTGCTCCATGCTTCCCTATTATACCGAGCAGCACAGTACTAGAAGATGTCATGGAGATGCTTTAACTGCCTCCCCAGGAGGAGGCATCCCCCCCACACACACACACTCCATGGTGCTGGTGGACTGATGAGCAGGGTGCACAGAAACTGGCTTCCCTGGCGGCACCGGCGGCTCTCTTAGCTGATCCCTCCCCCACTGTTGAGCCCCTGCTCTGGGGGCTGGAGCTGCTGCTGCTGCTGCTCCTCTCTTTTTTGTGCTCTCTTCCAGCAGCAGGAGGCAGCAGAGGGGAGGGGAGTGGCTTTCAAAGGGGGGGAATGCGGAGGGGGGTGGCAAGCTTCAGAGGGCTCCAAGAGCCGCATGTGGCTTCGGAGCCACAGTTTGGCCTCCCTATTCTATCATTTAAGTCATAGCAGATTTTTCTCCACTGGTATTAACTCCTCCATGTCCTAGGGAACAAGATAATGTATCTTGAATCTCCTACTGAAAGCAATCCAACCTTTGTTGCATCATTACACATTCTTCTTGTGTGAACCATGACCTACAAACAGTTCCAAGAATCCCCAATTGCTGGGGAAAGGTGGGAAAGAGAAACATGGTAAGGACTCAATAGAACATGTGTATGCATGTCTCCTCTTCACCCCAAAACTAATGCTTTAACCTGTGTACGTTTCTCTGCTTTTATACATTCTTTGTGTGTTTAATGATCTTGGCAACAGAAAATGCATTGTGAACCCTTTACCCATTGGTCTCTCCCTACCTGATCATATGGTATGTGTTAATTTTTCATCTATAATAATTATGCATTCCAGATGGACTTTAGACAGTGTTCAACAGTATGGTGTTTCAAGTATGTCTGTTGCATGAGGATACCTGTGATTCAACCTGCTTTTGAAAAGAGGTGGGGGAAAGTCTTGTTATGTATATTGCTTCCTTAAAATTACTCTCTCATACACTGACAGCACAGTCCGGGGGGGGGGGGGGCCACCTAAGGAACCAGCCAATGTACCTCAGAGACAATAACGTATCTCAAAGATATGCCCCCCCCCGGCTGCCACTGCACCATGGCTGGGCAGGGTGCTCGTACAACAATGCTGTGTACCCCTAGCAGAACACCATGGGTGCAAGATGTGCACTGGCAGGAGAAGGGGTGGGGGTAGGGTGTGGTAGGATTTAGTTCCATAAGCCTCCCCAGCCTGGAGGAGGGTGTACATAGTGCTGGGGCAGGGTGATGACTGGGCTGCACTTTAGTTGGCATCCTAAGGCATCCTAAGCTACACCAGAACTAACATAAAACATAAGCTCCCCAGAACTAACATAAAATTACATCTGTTAAAGCTGTGGTGCACCCATGGGTGCCCATGTCAAGAAGCCCAAGTAATGCCCTGCAGCTGAGGTCCCACCCACAATTCCTGGTGTAGCTTAGGATGCCAACTAAAGTGCAGCCCAATCATCACCCTGCCCCAGCAGCTATGTACACCCTCCTCCACACCCAATCACGGTCACACACACACACACGCTGCTTTGTAAACACCAACTGGTACACTCAGAGTTCAGATGTTAGAGTGTGTGGCATGGGGCTCTGTCTCCCAGGCCCCTGATGTGTACACAAGAGCATGCAGCATTGCACCTTGGTTGTGGGAAAAGCACAGGATGGTTAACACTTAACACTAACACCTAAGGCAGAGAGCAAACGTT